AGTCGTCTTCTACCGTCCGAGGTTTTGCCTGTGTTGGAGATAAGGCACGACTGGCATCAAGAAGAGAGCCATTTGTATGTGTCGGTAATGCTGGCGCTGCGGGAGGTTCTGGCTCGAAATCAATCAACGACAATTCATTGGCGGCGTTTTTGCCAACTCCTGTCGTGGTCCCCAACGTTCCTTTTTCGATCCTGTTGGCTCCTTCGACATCTCCAGCTTTCATGAGTTTGTACCTTTCAATCGTTCGATGTATGCTGTCGTTGATTTCGAGCAGCTTGGCAACCGCTTCGGCATCGTCCGACTCTTCCTCACACATCTTTTGGATCTTGGGGTGAGCGCTCTGAAGCGCACCAGCCAGTTCCTAGTCCTCATCAGCTTGACGTACCAACGGCTGCGGAACACGCCATACCTCGAAAACATCGCCATCACCAAATTTGTCGCCAGGTCGATGGCTTTGGAGCATCTCCTCCAATATTTTGGCTTTTTGTTGGACCTTTGCAACCTCTTCTGCTGCTTTGGCCCGATAGTCGGTCTTGTGCCTCGTGTCATAACCAGCCATTACCTTCATAAGTCTGTTGGCCTCTTGTAGATCTTGAGGTCGTCCTCGCCGAATCAGTTCTTGGAGTTTGGCCGATTGTGCCGCTCGGTCTTCCTCCTCCATCTCCTCGGCTGACTGGAGGTTCTAGGCCGTGTTAGCAGTGGTCAGCGTATCTTTCGGGTATCTCATACATCGCTAGGATTCAAGACGGCAGCATCCTCTTTCCGTACCTCCGGGAACATGTACCCCTTATACAACAGAAGCCTGTGCATATCCCTAATAAAACCCAAATCCTCCTTGTACCTCGATGTTTGGCATATTGTCGACCGCCATTCTTCAATGGCTTCCAAGATCTTGCTTTGCACCCGAGTCGGCCGTAACGGGGGCCGTTCAGGAAACCGTCTGACGAGTTCATTAAGAAATTCCTTGGTGCTGATTTGGAGGTGGAAAGGATAGCCGCAGTTTTTGACGCAGATATCAAGGAGTGACAAGGCCAATAAAGATACGTTTGGATTTCTGTGGTTGATCAGCTGCACGACGGTAAAGGCGGCCTCTCGCGGGGCATTGCCCTTCTTGGAGTTTACCAGGTCGACGATCTCGAGGTTCAGGGCGAGATTTGGTTCTAGGTTGGCGATAGGATCACAGGCGTTGTAGATGAATCGCTGGAGAGTCGAGCGAGGCGGGGCGAAGCCGTCGAAGACAAACTGATTTCGCGAAGCCATCCTCGCCGATGTGGCTTCCATGATCCGGACTAGCGTTAAGTTGTAGGTCGGTCAAGATGGATCGGAAGCGTGGTTGAAGGGAGCAGAAGAGTCTTCCTGTTCAGATATGCCGAACTTGGAACGCGGATTCTCACCTGCGCATCCAACCTACCAAGTCCACCCCAGGGGCAACCCATGCCAGCAAGTGCCAGCCAGCCCTTGACGAACTTCTTGGCGGCTACCTCGTAAAGGCGGGCAGGATGGGTAAAGGCTGCGCCGAGGTCACGTGAGACTCACCCTGTAGGCTCGGTAGCTCGCTATTTGACTCTTCCTCACTTTCGGGAAAACCGCACTCACTAATTTTCTTATTTAAGAACTGAGAGACAACGTAACACCGAGCTCGACGAAGGACCAGCTGGTTTGTTACTTCGTCTGCGCGACAGTCATCGAATCACAAAAAGACGCAGTGTCTCTTCTGAGAGCGCTGATATTGCAAATTTTATGGTTTGTCGGTTAAGAAAGACGTTGTTCGCCAGACCAAGGCTGCGTACAGGTCTATAAGGCTGTATATGAACCGTCTTTTGAGACTCCAGCAAATAATTGAAATGGTGGTGAGAATCACTTTGTGCAGCTGTCTTTACATTGTCATCGATGCCCTGTTGAATCTTGTCGGTACTGTCAAAAGGGACTGTGATGCCATTCTACCTCAGCCATAAAACCCGACAGGCTTGCACTTGTTCGCTTTCGAATTGTTGAGCTGGGAGAAATCTTGGTTTGGGACTATTCTGAGTCCCATCTCTTGCTTCTGAAGATGATACCCTTGAGTCGAAGGGAGTGGAGCTGAGAGCGGAAGGGGGAGCCAGAGAGAGGCGAAGAAAGCAGAAGGGCGAAAACTACAAGGATATGTCAGTCTTGCGAAGATCCGGAGGCCATGTTAAATGCGAAAAGAGTCAAATGAATGAAACAGTATCCCTATAAATTGTTCCCACGTTCAAGGTCTACAAGCTCGAAAATGCTCAGAGTGTAGTTGGTGATAACGCCGGGATCAAATGGTGCTATAGCTCGCGCTCAAGCCAATGCCCCTGCCCCTGGTCCCCCCCTTTTTGCCACGATATGCTTGATGCAGCTCTCTTTCAAGCCAACGGTGACGATGTGCTCTCAACAATGTTATCTTGGTCGGCGGGGGCTAGCTATTCCTGCACTCTTTAACATCGGAGGTGCAGGTAAGTCCTTCATTGGAGGAGCCGGTAACGGACCAGTTGGTGGAGGTTGTCGCACAGAAAACACTGGACTCATCAACGGGTTTCGGCCATTCATGGTATTGCCGCTACTACTTGTCCTCGGCGGGAATATGGGTCTTTGAGAAGGCTCAATGGCCGAAGCAGGCTCAGGAATATTGTCACGGTCGTTGTAACCCATGCGATTAGCACGTGGTCCAATTCCGTTCGGCGCGTCCCTAGTCTCCAACGACAAATGTTGTAAGGATAGCGGAGGAGGAGGAGACCTCTCCACAATGCCGGTTGGTGTACCTTGAAAACTGGACTGAGGCGGTGCCACTGGGATGTTGCCAGATGTCGGACTAGCATATTGCTTAGCTGTCACGGGGGTCACACGGGCATCACCCCCAAATGAAGCTGTCGACGCCGAAGAGGTTGTGTGAGAGCCATCCGAGCTTGTTCCATCGCTCTTCAGGGATTTTGGCGCAGGAGGTGCTAAGTATGATTTTCGATTGTGTCGTTCCATCATCGAGACCGCCCATTCCTGTAAATCAACTGGCGTTCTCTTCGCGGCCTGCAGGAAATTGTCTCTGTCGTAGAGCTCTCGGGGTGTCGGTCTCTCATCTGGGTTCTTGAGCAGACACTTGGCGACAAAATCCTCTAGAATAGATGGGAAGGCTTCGCTTTTTGGGAGTTTGGGCGCAGGCTCGTGAACTATAGTTTGCAAAAGGTCAAGAATACCCATTGGTCCAGCACTGGCTCTGTCGCCCGCGGCAGAATCGCTTGAATCGAATGGAAATCTTCCAATGGCAAGTTCCATCACCGTCAAACCCACGCTCCAGACGTCGGACTTGATAGTGTATGCTCCACCTTGAATTCGTTCCGGTGCCATGTACGTCGACGTTCCGACAAACGTGTTGGCCACTGAATTGACGGTCTCGGTAGCCACGCCAAAATCACATAGTTTGATCATTCCTCTAGAATTGACCAAGACATTGGAGGGCTTGATATCTCGGTGCATGATACGGTGGGCTTCATAAAGGTATACCAGACCTCCAAGAATAGATTCTGTAATTTTCCCAAGTACATCGACCCGTGTGGGTCCAAAATCTTTTGATATGCGATCCAGGGATCTGTAGGCCGTCAGCTCAGTAAGAGGATAGATCTCGACCATAACTGGCTCACCCGCAATCCATATACTCCATACAGAGCACAATGTCACGAGCTTCATTCTGGAAAGCTCCGTAGTATGTGATGACGTACGGCGAACTGCAGTCGGCGCCCACTTGCAATTCTCTGACAATTTGTTTTCGGACGTTCTCTTTTGCATCGACTCGAATGACCTGCATTCTCCCTCAGCATCTAGCCCACCTCTAAAACCACTGGCACATACCTTTCTTGCCATAATCACTTTGGTCGAAGCATGCATGACTTTGCTGACAGTACCGCCATTGCCAGCACCCAACTCTTTCAACACAATTAGATCTTCACTTCTAAGGTCGAGTTTGAATTCCAGGCCAATCTCCAAAGTGTCTGTTCGGTCACTCTCTGTATTTCCAAGCGCTCCAGGTATTTGTGCGTCACCATCGGAGGGTGTTGTTCGGGGAGGAGGAGCATTCAACGCCAATCCCTTGACATTCTTCCTCTTCAGCGTCCGGGCCTTGAACGCGTCAGACATGGTGTGAGGATCTCTCTGGGGCGACGGTGGTAACAGTCTGCTAATGAGGCCGACGAGGAAAGGTTCGAGATCGAAAAGAGGATGACACACAGCAGGCTGCGGCGGAACTGCAAGCGTAGGTATGTACAGAATACGAAACTGGGGGCGGCTATTTCAGACCCCAAGAACGATGCCAATCGAGGCCATCAGACGCCTAGAGGATGAATAACTGGCGTTTTGCTGAGTCTTCAGTAGACCAGCCACTCTAGGACGGTGGAAAGCCGTCGGAATGTCAAAATGCCACGGTTGGAACCTGCCGTACAGTCGAAGAAATAGTCAGTTGACAGGTGGCGAAACTGAAATGACTCTGAAGATAGGGGTTCAAAGTGCTTCAGCACCGTTGTGAGAGGCACACGCGGTCGTTGACTGAAGCAGCGATATCAGTCAATAGTGCAGGGCATAGGTCAGTAGTTCGCCAATAGGTGTCAATAGGAGGTCAAGCGCAAGCGCCTATTCTCACGCTTCAAAGTCCGAAGTTCCCCATCCTCAGAAAGAACCACAGGAACCGCATGCAGGCTGATTCGATTCATGTACTTAGAAGGGCTAGAAGGGCCTAGCCAATCGCCGAAAGCGACATCCCACTTATCCATATTTAGATTGGCGCGTGGCGATCATGGTCATAGATAGAAACTTTGCCGAGACCGCGATTTAGCCGCAGCATCAACTTGTTAGACCAAGTTTGCCTTTGGGCTTTCGCAGGCTATTCAAGACAGTAGAGCATTCCTTGCCAGCGCCCTGCACCGCGAACTTGCAGCGTACAAATTCAACACTCCTCGCTGCACCTCAAATACCTGAATCTTTTATTTGCGGCTTGCACTTCTGTCAGCATGGATCGTCTCATCGATGATCGCGCAGTCCTTGATGAGGAAGAGGAGGAGGAGGACGAATCCTTCGACGAAGAGACCGGCGAAAGGAGAACAAAGTCAAGTGGCGCAAACGGCCGTTTTGACGATTCCTCAGAAGAAGAGGAAGAGGACGAGGACGAGGAGGCCGCGGCGGAGGTGAAGCTTCTCCCACCAAGATGTTCTTCGGAGATGCCAATTCTAATGTTTATGCCAGATTGCCAAAGACTTCATTGTCGATGAAGATGAAGATGATGAAGAAACTCGACGAGAACGGAGACGAGAACGGAAGAAACGCCGCCGCGAAGAACGTGAAGACGAAGACCTCGATGAAGAGGATTTGGAATTGATCGGCATGAAGCCAACCGAGGAGCCGACCGAATCAAAGTTCAAGAGACTCAAGCGAGGCCCTCGCGAAGACCGCGATGCACAACAGCATCCTGGGGTGAATGATATTTTTGGCCATTCCGACGAGGAAGAGGAGGCAGCTGACTACAGTCGGCGGAGTCGTCAAGATCGAAGAGGGCTGCAGGACGAGTTTGACGACTTCATCGAAGAGGATATTTTCTCAGATGAAGAACAACAACGGCAACGCGAAGATGAGGAAGTGGCCAGGCATAATCGTCGAGGCATCGCAGAGCTAGGCATCGCAGATGCAGCTGGTCTCGATGAGCAGGCTCTAGAAGACTTTCGTGCAGCGTTCGGTGATGGAACAGATTACGACTTTGCACTCGAAAAGGAAGAAGAGGCTGACGAAGAAGAGGCCGAAAAAGACAAGAATCTCCATCTCAAAGACGTCTTTGAACCCTCTCAGCTGGCCGAGAAGCTTTTGACCGACGAGGACAATGAAATCCGATTTACTGATATACCCGAACGACATCAGCTAGCTAGGAGACCATATCGCGACCTTGAATTGACCGAAGATGAGGTCAAAGAAGAAGCTGCGTGGATAGCCAACCTCGTACTGCCGTCGAAAGGGCACGACCCTATTCACCACGAACCATTCAGACGGGCTGTCGCAGATAATCTGGATTTGATGACTCGGCAGGATTTTGAACCACCGTTTATTTACATGCATCGAAAAGATTATCTGCTGTTCCCTCAGACTAAGGTGGTTGGTGTACAGGAAGACGGGACTCCAAAAGTTGTCGATGACACCGTCAAACTCCTCAATCAGAAAGATCTGTGGCGTATCTTGGAGCTCGATCTCAAATATAGAGCCCTTATCGAAAGGAAACGAGCGCTTCAGAAAACATACGATGATTTGAAGTCGACTAATGTGTCCGAGGACATCACTTTCGAACAACTCCTCCCACGAGCTGCTACGATGGAGGATCTTCAGGATTTGCAGGACTATCTGTATTTCGAGTACGCATCACAGCTTAAAGATTTGGCCCTGACCTCGAATGGCGAGACCAACGGTGTGAATATGTCTCAGAAGAAAGCTTCGACGAGAAGTGTTTACGAGGAAATTCGTGCCTCGAGAGCATTCGGTCTCGTTCGTGCCTTTGGAATAACTGCAGACGCATTCGCACGAAACGCCGCCAGAGAAGGCGTCCGAACGTACACGGAAGATCCCTCTGATAGCCCAGAGAATCTTGCTGAAACACTGATCGACGAAGAATTCTCTACGGGCGCCAGAGTGCTCAAAGCGGCGAAGGCGATGTTCGTCGAACAACTAGCCACGAGCCCACGATTTCGCCGTCTCATCAGAGAGAAGATCTTCCCCCAAGGGGTGATTGACTGCCACCGTACCGAAAAAGGTCTTCGCAAGATCGACGAGCAACATCCTTACTATGAATTCAAATATCTCCGGAACCAGAAATGCATCTATTTCAGCGAACGACCTGATCTGTTCCTTAAGATGCTGAAGGCAGAGGAAGAAGGCTTGATCGAGATTCGGGTTCGACTGCCCGAGCTGGATACTTTCAAGAAAGAACTCAACAAGCAGATTGAAACAGACAATTACTCTACTGTGGCTGATGCGTGGAACCAAGAGCGCCGTGAGGCCGTATCGAGTGCCGTTGACAAGATCATGAAGCTCATGGCCCGGTCGGTTAAAGAAAATCTCAAGGAGCAATGCGAAGCAACTATCGGGAATGATTGCCGCGATGAGTTCTATGTAAAGCTCGACCAGGCTCCCTGGAAGCCGAGAGGGTTGGCGAAAGGTACTGTTCCGCGGGTCTTAGCCATGACGAACGGTGGTGGAGCAATTGGCCGTGACCCCATCTACTGGGCCTACGTCGGTGACGAGGGTAGAGTCCTTGAGCATGGTCAGTATAAGGACCTCGGCCCTGGCAATCGAGAACGCGGCATCTCCGACGGCAAGGATGTTGACGCCCTATTGGAAGTCATTCGGAGGAGGGAGCCTGAAGTTATCGCGGTCTCGGGATGGTGTCCTGATACCCGCAAACTTCTAGCAAACCTGACCACCTTGGTCAACAACCATGACCTCCGAGGTGCGACATACAGCGACGATGATGACCAGGATCGAAGCGATCTTTTGGATGTCATTCTCGTCAACGACGAAGTTGCCCGGATGTCGAAATCAGGCGATCGCATGAAATCTGATAACCCCGGGGTTCCTGAAATGGCCCTCTACTGTGTCGGACTAGCGAGGTACATGCAATCTCCCTTGAAAGAGTATGCCGCTCTAGGTCGAGACATTGTATCCATCAACTTCCACCAAACCCAGAACCTTGTGCCGCAAGACAAATTATTGAAGAAACTGGAAACTGCTCTTGTCGACACGGTCACCATGACCGGCGTGAACATCAATGAGGCCGTAACTGACCCCGGGCTGGCAAACCTTCTTCCCTATGTTGCCGGCCTCGGACCCCGAAAGGCTTCCCAGTTGGTGAAAGTTATCAACCTCAACAACGGATTTGTCAGGGCTCGTGAGGACCTGCTGGGTCTCAACGATAAATACCAAGCGATGGGACCCAAAGTATGGGCCAATGCTGCATCCTTCTTGTACATCGACTTTGACATGTCGGATCCTGACTCGGAGTATTTGGACAACACTCGAATACACCCTGAAGATTACGACATCGCCCGGAAAATGGCAGCTGATGCGCTTGAACTTGATGAAGAAGATATTGAGGCCGAGAGACAAGAAGGAGGATCAGGAGCTATAGTTCGCCGCCTAATACGAGAAGAAGCACAGGAACGCGTTCATGACCTGGTTCTCGAAGAATATGCCGCGCAGTTGGAACAAAATCTGAACTCAAAAAAGCGCAGCACTCTGGAGAACATTACCGCCGAACTCAACGATCCATATGAAGAACTGAGAAACCCATTCCGGGTAAATCTAGGAGAGTCGGAAGTCTTCACAATGCTCACAGGGGAGACCAGAGAATCCCTGCAGAGAGGCATGAATATTCCAATGACGCTCAAGAAGGTCACCGACGATCACATGGAGGGCAGACTTGAATGCGGATTGGATGCTGTGGTTGAGGATCGTCAATGGGCAGACCCTGCGTTGTCGCCGAAGCAGTTATACAATATCCATCAGACCGTTCAAGCCCACATCACCTCGATCAACCGCAAAGACTTTATAGTCACTGTAAGCTTGAGAGACGAGCAGTTGAAAAAACCATTCAAGAGATATAGTCACAACGATCGAAACTACGACGAGTGGGATGATCGCGAGGAGGCTGCGGACAAGAAGTTGTTGGAAGAGAAGACGGATTTGGGCAACCGGGTCACTCGAGTGATCAAGCACCCCCTATTCCGGCCGTTCAATGCAAAGCAAGCAGAAGAGTATTTGGGCAGCCAGAATCGTGGTGACATCGTCATTCGCCCATCATCCAAAGGAAACGATCATCTTGCCGTAACATGGAAGGTTGCGGACGGTATATTCCAACATATTGATGTCCTTGAACTGGACAAAGAGAACGAGTTCTCCTTGGGAAGGACGCTGAGGATAGGTGGACGGTACAACTACTCCGACTTGGACGAACTGATCGTGCTACATGTCAAGGCCATGGCTCGAAAAGTGGACGAGATGTGCAATAACGAGAAATTCCAGAACAAGTCCAAGGCTGCATTAGGTGAGTTTGTTATTCTTTGCGAACCTGATACCAGATATTACTGACGCTCGGAACAGAAGAGTGGTTGACAACCTATACCAATGCTAACCCCAAACGCTCCATGTACCAATTCTGCCTCAACCGTGAGCGACCAGGGCAGTTCCACCTCGTCTTCAAGGCGGGCCAAAACGCGAAGCTGATGGACTGGAGCGTGAGGGTGATTCCACAAGGGTTCGAATTGATGAAGCAACCATATCCCACCATGAGAGATCTGTGCAACGGCTTCAAGCTGATTTTCCAGAACATGCATGAGGCGGCGGCGATGGGCAGGCCTATGCGAAGATAGAATATTTGGGTATTGGGACGACCGAGCATTTGAATGCCGGCCGCACACATTGGATGCGAATCTACAGCATCCCGGCAAATACCTTGGACTGGGACAAGGAATGGGCCCCAGGGAGGAAGCTATGTATTAGTACCGACATGATGCTCAAGGACGAGCTAGATATGGAATGATCAGATATGTTGGCTTCGAGAGATCTGACGCTACCCTCGTCGATTTGGCCCAATTTCCGCCCAGATATCTCATCTCGTCACATTGCACTCAGCCTAGCGCCCTGCTGACCTGTCCATCTGTGAATGGATGCTATTGTCAGCCTCGGTCGTCTCTCGTCTCAATGGCTGGAGCTGATGGCTGATGAAACCAATTGGGAGCATCTGGGCCAGCCTCAGGGTCTGGGCCTCGCACTAGCTCTGCACCTTCGACTATAGTTGATTCTCAGTTGGCTTCACAGCAGGCAGGAAGCGAGACGTATCTTGCCATCCAGCATTCCACTGTCGCCGTCCGGAGGATGGAGGAATTTCACGACAAGGATACATGAAATGCTGGCGATGCTCATGCTGCCACATCTGTCAGAACGACTCGCTCATCAGCTTGATCCACAATCCATAGCCCTTACTACAACGAGACAAGAGAGATCATGGGTGTGCTGTTCTCGTCCGGTTGGCTTCCCTTGATGCTTCTGGCAATCATCTCGGCCGCATCTGCTTCAGCGGCCAACGCTGCTCCCAGTGGTTCATGCAAATGCGTATGCTTCCAACAAGGTTAGGTCGTCCAATGCGGAATATCTGACGTGATGGATAGATTCCCGGCGACCAATGTTGGCCTCCCAATATTCTCTGGGATTTCTTCAACTTCACTGTTGGTGGAAACTCAATTCGAACACAACCCGTCGCCCTCTCTTGCTGTCCTGGCCCTGCTTCCAGTCCAGCTCAATGTACTTATGTGGATGCGAACTGGAACAATGCCACGCTCCAGGCTGCCAATGTCGTTGGGCTCTCATATCCAACCAATATCAGCTGCCCTCCCGTCAATGCTACGGCAGGGGAAAGTGCTCAGGGGTCCCGCACACTGGGAGTGAGTCCAAGCTATGCGGCAAACTGCACCAACCCTCAACAGGTTGCCTTAACGGTCGTCTTCTCCAAGCTGTTCAACATCCGCCTGGCGGTTAGGAACACGGGCCATGACCAGCTCGGACGCTCCGAGCGATCCAATGGTCTGGAAGTTTGGATCCGCCATCTTCGGAATGGCATCACTTTTCAAAACACTTTTGAGTCCTCCACCGGATGTACCACGAGCAATTGGACCGGAAGCGCGTTCAAGGTCGCAGGGGGGTACTCGTGGGGAGATGGGGCGGCAGAGGCTCAGAAGCACAACGTCGTTATTGTCACTGGCGGTACACCCTCTGTTGGGGCTCTTGGAGGCTGGATGCAGGGCGGTGGCCACGGCCCTGCATCCAGCGAGACTTTGGTCTGAGAGCAGACCAGGTGCTGGAGCTCGCGGTTGTCCTTGCCGACGGCTCACTTGTGGCGGCCAATGGTTGCCTGCACAGCGACCTTTTCGTCGCCCTTTGCGGTGGCGGTGGCGGGACATACGGTGTCGTGGTATCGAGCACGGTCAAAGCCCATCCCACAGTCAATGTCACGGTTCAGCATCTGGCCATGTTCCCCTTGAGCTCGAACACATCTGCACTCCTGGATGCCATTGCCATTTTATACTCTTCCTATCCTGATCTCAACGAAGCAGGCTACGCCGGCTACGACCAATGATCCGTCAACAGCCCAGCGCCTCTGTTCGCTGACGTTACCACCGACTATGTCCATGGCTTCGCGATTTTCAACGCCGCCGTAGCGCATGCCCAATCTGCCTTCGACGCTACCCGGGCAAAACTGGCCAAATACAACTTGACCAGCGTCTTCATCTCCGAAGGCTACGTCTCCTATCCGGACTACTGGACATACTACCACGCTGAGTCGGGCTCCGAACCACCCGTCAGCCTCCCAGCGTATGGTGCTGAAACCGGCCGTTCGACCGCGCCTCGGTGACGCAGAACTTTAGCGCTCTGCGAACCATGATTGAAACCATCGCCGGGACACTCGACCAGTTCACAACCAACAACCTCGAGCTCGTCGGCGGCGGCCAGGTCTTCAGGGACGCATCCGAACCGTACTCGGGCGTCACCCCGGTATGGCGGATCTCTTACTTCAACAGCGTCGTCGCCCGAGTGTCTTCTTTGGATACCCCGCAAGCAGTGCTGGATGAAAAGCAGCACGACATCACGTACGTCAAGGTGCCGGCCACGAAGAGACTGGCGCCAACCACGGGTGCGTATATGAATGAAACGAGCAGATTTGACCCGGACTGAAAGGCGCATATTTACGGGAGAAAGCATTACGAGAGGCTGTGGGCAATCAAGAGGAAATACAATCCTTACGGAGTGTTTTTATTGTCTGACTTGTGTGGGCAGTGATGCGTTCGAGGCGGTTGAGGGTGGCAAGTTGTGTCGAGTCCGGGGTGGACATAGCAACGAATGGGATCTAATAGTAAAGAAATAAGGCGGTTTGTTTTTCAGGATAAATGCGGACATACTACTATATGTACCGCAATCTGCGAGTTTCATGACCCATTTTCCTTACGGCGGTAAATACATAGTCTTGCTATTCCATTCATACCTCTCTGGTGCAAACCGTATGGCTGTAATGCTAATCAATATATTATACATATCCGGAGGAGGCATATGAGCGCTGAAACTGGGCGCATCTCTTCCCATCAACGAGGCTGTCGAGCCCCTTCAGGGACCCGTCTCGTTTGGAGCAGCTCATATTAGCCCAAAGCTCTGAATCGGCCTCAGCTGTGATTCGAAGAGTGTCCCATAATGTCTGCGCATCTCATATTTGCGGGAATCCCTCAGCGATGGGAAGAAGAGATGCCCCGGTTTTCTGCTTTCTTGCGCCACTGAAATCGTTGGAAATTCAGGGGTTCCCCGGCGAAAGGGAGGTAGGCAAGCATTACTTACAGATGTGACTGGCAGGGCTGCTAAGAGATGTAAAGACTGTCGAGACTTGTCGGTACTCACAGTGTGAATTACTCGATAGTATATAGTCAGACAGGCCCTCAGGCTTTGTTGCAATCTATCATGTCCTCCATTGAGTCACATGGGGGAAGATATCAGATCACGTGCGCGACAAGGCTGAGCATCCCCTTTCAATACTGAGTTCGTGTAACCCCTAATTACAACTCGTACATGTTCGACAGATGGGCAGCATGCAAGGGATGTCCGCCGCGGTCGGCAATCACCGTATATAGTCAGGATCCATTTGAATGTACGAATCGCTCTCGGCTCGGGCTGGGTGTTGGCAGAACACCGTGCTCTAACCGACCACTATCTCTTCTGCATCACGTCCCGTTCGTCCCATTCGCCCCATCAACAGGCTTCAGCTTTCCTTCCACTACGCCTGCCGCGACCCCTGGTGTGCGATGGATCTTGACCACCTCAAGCCCCACGCTGTCGAACAGTTTTCGGAAATCTGCTTCTGTCCTTTCCTTCCCACCCATGACCATACACGCAACATCCAAAGCTGCGGTATGTGCCTCTTTGTCCGTCATGATTTCTGGAATCAGCATGTCAGCAATCAGGATGCGGGAGTCCTGCGCCATGGCGGGGATGATCTGATTCAGCGCTTTGGCGCAGAGTTCGTCGCTGTAGTCGTGGAAGACGCGCCGGAAGTAGTACGCTTTGGCGCCTGCGCAGAAAGTCAGAATGACAGCATACATGCCTTTATCGGAGTAGAAATCGGAACGGCAAGAATCAAGCCTGTGCCCTCTTTATTTCCTCGCTGGAGTGACTCACCTTTAACAGGCTGTTCGGTCCAGAAATCATGCTCCATCAGCTTGACCCCTTCCGGAGCAATCTTCTCTTTCTCGGCCATTGCTATAATCTCCTTCTGATCTTGCAAGACCACGTTTTTGGGATTCAACTTCTTGTACTCATCCAAGACTTTCTTTACGGTGTTCCCTACTCCGCCGCCAATATCCACTAGAGCTGCTCGATCGGGGTTCGTCTGCAACTCCTCTTCACTTAATGCAAGTTGATTGAAATCATAATAGCCTATGACGGGAACCAGGTTGTCACCCATTTTCAGCCCAAGCTGGAATGTCTTCAGTTTCTCTGGGTCTTTGGACATGATTTCCCACGTCGTCAACCCGGAGTCGCTTGCGTTGTGGTAGTCAGAGTATGGATTGACGTAGAAAGATGTTGGCTCTACAGCCCCATGTTTTGCAAGGTATTTGGGGAGGTCCGTCATGGGCTGAAGGAAGTGGTCGAACATTAATGTAAAGAACATTCCAGGAAAGGAAGTATAGGCCTGTGAAAACCTGGTGCATCCATAGGAGCCATCTTCAGGGGACTGAGTTATGAATCCCGACGCGACCAGAGGGCGTAACAGTCTCTCTGATGACCTTTGTGTCAGCTTCACCACTCTTCCATTGGCCTTCTCGGGTCAAGAGGGCCCACGGCGACCCCATCACCAGCAGTAAATCAGTGGAACAGGAGCCCTACCAAGCAAGACATCTTGGACGCCAGACACTTCACTCAACTCTTTTGCGCTGATGGTCTTTCCCTCTTCAGCTGGCATTTTCTCAAACACCTTGAGGTCCAACAGTGTACGGACAGAGACCAGCTCGGCCATTTGCAGTGAGTGGGCCTGAACCATCATGCCTGGATCCATCAGTAAATACATAATCTTCTTGGAGAGGTTGACGAGAGCCGCTTTGGGTGCGAGAGACGCAGCATCATGGCCTGTGGAAGGCACGAAGCCGCTGGCGAGTTGCGAGAGCTCGCTGACGAGTGACAACAAATTTTCGGCCATTCTCGGCGGCTTTTGTCGTCCAGACGATGTGACTAAATAGATGGATTTGTGATCCGGTCTTCGTCAAGGATTGTGGCGGTGATTCGACGTTTAGTGCATCAACCAGGGGACAAATCTAGCTCCAGGAAGATGTTTGGGGATGGCAGAAGCTCACCTTTCGATCATAACGCATGGAGTGGCCTTGGGGATCATCAAGTACCTCCGTTGGACTGACATGGTTGTTGATAGACAAGTCATTTGCCGGCGGGGAGCTGCATTCGGAGCATGGACCTTTCACAAACTGTTTCATGCAAGTCGAGAGAACGTTGCCAGCGCATCGCCGAGCGAGACGAGTTACACGGGCTGCATTGTGGATTTTGACGCATGAGACGCTGCCCACTGCTGAGTTGGCCATTGCCATCGTTTCGCCAGAGATGGGATCAAATGGGGGCCATCAGAGTCACTACTAAGTGGGTGGGGTTTTGGGTGCCTGCAGAGGGCTAAGGAAGCCGCGGGACCAAGGCATCTGCCAACAGCTGGGAGGCTTTGCATGTGCATGCCTCGTACATACGCGCAGGGTTGAGAATGATTGATTAGGAAGGGAAACCCGGTGGCGGGTGACGTACTACATAATAACAACATCATATATGTTGGTTGCTGTTTGAATAACTAGTTCCAGACAAGACGGACTGGGGCCAGAGAATGTTGGCCCAAGAGATGAATAACCGCAACGCCCTTGGATCGACCTCCAACGCCTCCCATTTCCAGCATGCCAGGGGCGCCATGTAGTTACGGGAACACTGCCTGTCGTGAGTCGAGATAATCCTTAATGCCTGTAACCTGTGAAAGAGTGCCTCCTGTTGTGTTTCGGAAGCACTATCCAAATCCTGCAAGTCCGGGTCTTTCTGACGCAGCCTTGCCAAAAGCCAAAAGATTGTACCTTGCCCTTACCAGCCGACCGACCCATCCAGAGCCGAGTAACCTTTTAACATTGGCTTATCCGTCGATGTTCCGTGCTCGAGGACGCCGCCCTGACTGACATTGCTGCCGTGTGTATCATGTCTTAATCCATACCTCGTAGCTTCGAGTCATTTCCGACGTTGCTCATGGCATCATGGCCTCGGCTTCTTCGTCCGTGACGAAGATCTCAGCCACAGGGCAGTGGTCCTCGTCTCCAAAGTCCCCGTCGTATAGCTTCTTTCGGCCCCTCTCTCCGTACCGTCCCAGCATATAGCTTGGCAAGAACAGCTCGTCGTTCCATGTAAACCCCTGGCTATATTTTGTGTATGTGATCAGTCGGGGAGGCTCGTCTGGATCGTCGTGATGAGCATTCAGATTGATGGATTTGTAAGAGCTGGAAGACAGCATCGAAGGGCCAAGTAAAGAGGAGGAAGGGTTGAAGAGCATGGGCATGCTACTAGGCGGCGGGAGGCCAGCCTTGTGCTTGTCTTTCCGTGGTGATGGGCTGGGCTCGTTGTCGGGGTGTAACGAGGTAGGGAGTCGGTCCACCACACCCGCCGAAGGGACATTGTTGCGCAGGAGATGCCGGGGCTGGGGCCGAGTGGGAATAGGGCTGTAGGACCAGTGCGAGTCTTGGTCGGAGCCTGAGCCTGAGCCTAGCGATGATGGGCCAGCATCAGAAGCTTCGGCACTTGCGGCGTGGTTAGGGTAGCGTTCACTTCGTCGACGGCGGTTCGGCGGAGAGTAGTCTGTACTGTTGCCAGTATGCAAAGGGATCTTGATGGCCCGGGAGCCGGGGGCGGGGGAAGCAGAGGAATCAGGCATTGTAGAGACAACCACTAGCCCTAGCGAAGGGAAGTGGAGTGGACTGATTATAGGTATATTGAAAACGCCTTTCACCAAGCTCCGATAACAGCAAAGCAAAGTCCACAGCCTGCGGTGATTACCTGTAAGTGGTGTACATGAGAGTAATGCCTGGGGGGGGGGAGAGAAGAAGGAAGAACAGCAAGTAACGTGGTGGTGGTGGGAGAAAAGGCAAACAAAGTTGAGTTGTGACTTAAGGAGGGTTTTGGAAACGTCGGAGGGACCTGTGCTCTGTTAGGCGATAGGCAGACGGTAATAGGATTGATTGAGATGCGCATGATTCACTGGTCAAGCCCACAATCGTGGTCACGTTGGCAGGTTGAGTCACCGCAGCCACCGCCCGAGTCAATTCTGCCCGCTGGAACAACCCCGCATGATTTTTCGCGATAACGATAAGACGTGCTTGACGTGCACATTTACCACTACAGGCGAGCCTTGGATTGGTTGCACAGGCTCAGCAACGCGCTTCTTTGGCTGCATCATATTAGGCTCTGGGCCCATCGTGCTACTGTAATATTATCACAGTACTGAGTACCGAACACTCTACCTCGTACTGAGTACATATCGTAACACGTGACACGCCCTCCCTACGCATAGTACCATGGCTCGTCAAAGACGTGGTATCTGTGTCCACGCACACCTTCCCCACGGAATAGCGCTGGAAATCTGCGTCCAGGCGGTACCTGCTCTTCAGGAATCCTCTCGTCCGTGTACGAAACCGGCTCTCCAACCACAAATTTGCCCACCTGCCTCGCGTCAGTGATGTTCAGTAAACCAATATCCAATGGATGCTTCTGCTTACCTGGATCTCAGTGTCTGTAATGGTACCCCTGCTGACCCGGGCATATCCCACGCGCTTGATATCCTTGTACAGGATGTACTCGCACCATCGGTCCCAATCACGAGAGTCAATGTCGTGCATTCCAGTCAGTCCACTCACGTACGTGTTGTAGTTGCCTTCTCCCGGTTTGACCACCAGGTAACTCAGCAAGATCGCTGGTCGAGTTGTCGCCCCCATCCGCTTGGACAGATACTCCGTCTGAAGTCGTCGGTCCTCGGGATCTTCCTCTTGTCCCGAGTGGAAAACAAATACATCGACTTGGGTTCCGTATACATCCAGCGTGGCTTCAATTGCAGGCGCAAGTTCGCCGACCGGCGAAGGGAGCAAGTGATGAGTCGAGTTGAGAATGGGGAACTTGGATAGCAGTGCTGATCCCCACGTATGTTTATTCGGCCCAGGACCGAAGTCCACGTACATGCCCAAATCCTCAGCAAGATACTGCGTGGTGTCGCGGTTGCCCATAATGATTCGTTGCAGATCAGACTCCAGCAATCCCACCACGTCCAGCTCCAATTCCTTGATCGCGTCTCGCATCCTTCGCTCAGACGACCAGTCGTCATTGTCCAGCGAAAAGTGGATGGTCCAGATTCCAGCCGTGATAAGCTTCTCCTCTGGATGGTATGGTACATAATCATAGGTTGGAAAGCGTAAATATGCAATGAAGGCCGTCAACAGCTGCATGACGAGCAGGACATGAAGGTAGTAGCGGGACTGCTTCCGTCCACGAGGGCTCGATTTCCTCTTCGGTTGATATGCCGAGTTAGTGGCCAAGGCTGAAAAGACGCCGGCACCGATCAGAAGCATCATTGTGATCATCACCCAATCGGTGTGCTCTCGAACTAGGGGCCCTCCAGGGACGAACGCATATGCCACAACCCAAACATGGAAGAGGACCATGATGTTGTACATGAAATAGCCGAAGCCAAAGGTAGACGCCGGACTATGTTGGGCGGCGGAAGAGATAAGCACTGGCGCAACTCCCATAGTGTAGAAGGCAAGAATCAGACCACCATAGTAGCCGGTCCAGTTGCTGTAGCTGGTGAGTAAGGCTGCACCGATAGCTCCCAATCCATAGGCTGTCCATGTCCCAAAAAAGCCTGGGAGGGCAATTCCTAGAAACAATCCGAGGCTCATCACAACTATCGTCACGGCACCATGGGGTACTGCCAGCGGCCCCCGTACAGGATAACCCTCCCAGACCCACAATATCATGGTGCTGGAGTCTGAGAGCAAAGAGTGCATGGAAAAGAAGAGCCCTCCCAGGCCGAGCCCAGCCAAAAGGCTTGAGCCTTTCCTTGCATTTTGGGGGACGTAGTCTCCACCACTGAAGACTTCTGGTCGGGTGGACCGCCATACAGCAACCAGGGCGATCACCAAACCGGTCTTGTTCCATCCACCGATTCCAGAATGTAGAATGGGCCAGACAGGATTGTTGGTGTGATTCGCAAACTTGGCAATGCTCGACATCACGAAACCAATACTCCATGCCAAGATTCTTCTTTGAAGCCGCACCGAGTTTCTTCGTTCAGCATACCACTCTGCTGACCAGGCAATACAACCCAACATGACAGCAAACCCGACAGTGAACAAACGGTATGCCGGGTCCTTTACTAACCAAGCCACAAGGCCTACCAGAGAAGCCATGTGAACCCAGCGAACGTTCTTGATTGTAAAAGATCGAACGGATGGGATGGCAAGTATCACAGGTGAAGCAGGGGACATGACCATGACCTCGTAGCCCGAGATCCCCATGTGCCAGAGCGGGAAATACCAAATGAGGACGCCGAGAGAGGTGAGGATAGACCAGAAGAAAAATCCATGGAGAATGTCCGCAGTCGCGTCCAGCATCGCGGGCCAATAGTACAGACCATCAAAGGTAGAGGTCTGGATCAAAGGACTCCCGTGTCTGGGGTATATCAGCAGAGTCAATAGAGAAATCACTCTCAACTTACTGTTTCTCTTTCACAGAATCCTTCAGTAGTTTGGCATCACTGCAAAAGGGTTAGTAGGTCTCCAAGCCAAACTTCGACTTATTCGTACATTTGCGTATTTTGGGAGCAACTGTACATACCCTCTGCTAGAGCCCTTGATGTCTTTGACCACGATTTCAAATGTTTCATAGTCAAGCGCAGTGACCGCATCAAAGGCCACATCGAACAAGATCAGAGACCATTCAAAAAAGGCGTAGATGGTGTACGCTTGAGAAATCAGCATAAAGGTCCGGATTGTAGCCGAAAGACTCACCGCCTGCAACTTTGTGGATTTTGTGCTGGATGAAGAAATAGATCAAGGGTACAAGAGTACCGAAGAACAAGCTAGCCAAGATTTTTCGATATTTGATGGCTTTCGCATTGGG